ATAATGTTTTCTTGTATGGGTATACACATATTATCCATTCTTTAATAGATGAACATTTGAATATTTTCCACTTTTCTGGCTATTATGAATAATGCTACTATGAATATAAGTGTACAGATTTTTGTCAACATATGTGTCATTTCTCTTGTGTATATACTGGGAATAGAATTTGTAGGTTATATGGTAACATTTAAATATAACATTTTGAGGAATTGCCCAGGTGTTTTTTTTACATGTTTCTTAATGTAAAATGGCTGCCCCGTTTTACATTCCCAGCAGTGTCTGAGATTTCCAGTTTCTTCTCATTCTTATCAGCACTTATTAATGTCTGTTCTTGTTATTTTAGCCATCCTAATGGATTTGAAGCGTTATCTTGATGTTGTTTCAATTGGTATTTTTTTTTAAAGGATAATGCTGTTGAGCATCTTATATTTTTATTGACCATTTGTTTACCATCTTTGAAGAAGTTGCTATTCAGAATATTTACTCAGTTCTTTATATATTCTCTGTACAATTCCTTTATCAGATTAAGATTTGCAAATATTCTCTTCTTTTTTTGATAGATTAACCTCACTTTCTTGATGGTATCCTTTTTTAACACAGGTTAAAAATTTTTTGTTCAGGTGAGTTTCACATTGCATAAAATTAATCATTTTTAAGTGTACAATTGAGTGTAACTTAGTACATGCACAGTGTTATGCAACCACTACCTTTATCACACTCAAAACATTTTGTCACCACAGTCATTTCTCTTTCTACCCTTCTCTCTTGCCCCTGAAAACCAAGCAGTCTGCTTTCTGTCTCGAAAGATTCACCTATTCTGGGTAAAAGTTTTAATTTTGATGAACTCCTGTTTATCTTTTTTTTTTTTGGTCGCATTTTTTGGTTTTATATTTAAGAAATAATTGCTTAATCTGTAGTTTCAAAGATAACTTAAACATTTTTATTAGCTGTTATTTTTTTGGTCTGTGTTCCATTTTGAGTTAGTTATTTTGCATGTGGTATGACAAGAGTTCCAAGTTCATTCTCCTGTAAGTGAAAATTATTTAGTTGTCTCAGAACATTGTTTAAAGATTGTTCTTTCTTCTTGTGGAACTGTCCTGGCATTCTTGTCTAAAATCAAGTAATATAGATGTGAGAGTTTAATTCTGGTCTTTTCATTCTATTCTATTAATTATATACCTGTTGTTATGCCAGTACTACATTGAATTGATTACTGTAGCTTTGTAGGAGGTTTCTAAATTAGAAAGAGTGAGTCCTCAGATTTTTCTGTTTTAATATTGTCTGGCCATTGTTAGGTTTCCTGTTTCCATATGACTTTTACAGTTAGTTTGTTGGTTTCTATAAAGAATTTAGCCGGGATTCTGAGTTTGTGAGGCAGTTGTAGATTAATTTGCCTAGTATTGCCATCCAATCTATGAGTATGGAATATCTTTCCATTTATTTAGAGATTTTTTTTCCTTTTTTAGGTCTTAAATTTCATTCAGCAACTTTTTTTTAGTGTTTATTGCATTTTTGTTAAATCTATACCAATTTAATGTATGTTTGTTTGTTTGTTTTTAATTAGCATTTATTTGATGCTAAATGTACTCCCGGGCCATAAGTTTTTGTTTCAATTTCTTCTGGGATATCTTTTTTTCTGTGCAGCCTCCTCTTGTTTAGGAACGGTATGCTCTTTTTCAGTAAGGATCATTTCAATGTGTCAGGGAGAGCTCATGTACGATTAGTGTACCCATGAGATCTGTAAATTCTGTGCCGCATCTTGGGAGCTTAGTTCACCTGGATGTGCTCAGTAACTAGAGAATCTACATCTAAATCCTTAAGTTCAGCATTCCTTTCTCCAATTTTTAAGCATGTGGAGTACAGATTCAGCACTCTTTTGGGGCCACCGGCTCTCTGTCCAGCCCCATTATTTGTCCTGGACACACATACCGTACTCCACCATTGTAACGACAGAATGGCATGCATTGCTTCTGTGACATCTTTCAGCTATTTGGTGGCTTTTTGGATATGCATACCCTGGATGGCCTAAGTAGTTTCATGAGTGGTCTTAAAGTGAACTTCAAGATTTCAGCCTCTTGATTTGCATGATTTCAAGCAGTTTCTTCTGGGTCAAGTGAATAGCGAACCATTTTCAGTGGCCACCTCAAGCTGCTTGTAGGAAGAGCCCAAAGTAATTTATTGTTTTTGATGTTATTGCACATGGAAGTGTTTCCTTTATTTTGGGATTGTTCTCATCAAATTCCTAGAAAAACATATCTAATTACAGAAATACAATCAGTTTTTAGAAATTCATTTTGCATCATGCAGTCATGTTGAATTTTGTTTGTAATTTTTAATGGAATCCTTAGATTTTCTGTATGCAAGATCATATTGTTTACAAATAGAGATAGTTTTCCTTCCTCTTTTCCAATCTAGTTACCTTTTTTTAATTGCCTAATGGCCTCGTCTAGAGGAACATATAGCACAGTGTTGAAAGAAGTAGTGAAATGGTATACTTGTCATCTGTGTCTTTCGCAAAATTTCTCTTTATGCCTTTTATTTATTTTCTAATTGGCTTCTTATTGAGTTTACAGAGTTAAGTATTTGTTAGATATGTGATATGCAAATGTATTTTCCAGGTTTTTAGGGTTTTTTTCATCCTATTAACATCATTTCCTAGCAGAGTTCTTATTTTTGATAACATCTGATTATTTCCTCCATAGATCACACTTTTAGTGTCAGGACTAAGAATTTATTGCCCAGCTGTAAATCAAAAAAACGTTTTTTTGTGTGTGTTCATTTTTTGAAAGTATAGTTTTGCAGTTAAGTCTGATCTGTTTTGAGCTAAGTTTCGTTTAGATGTGAGGCTTAGATTAAAATTCTTTGTTTGGGGGGTGGAGGGCCTGTGTATGATCATTGTTCCAGCACCATTTGCTGAAAGACTCTCTTTCATCTTGTCTACATTAGAATGCTTTTACCTTTTGTCAGGTATCAGTTGGGCATATTTTTATGGATGTATTTCTAGGTTCCCTGTTTTGTTCCATTTTCTGTTTCTCTGCCAGTACCATACAGTCTTGATTTCTGTTTGTATATATGTCTTGAGGTCAGGTAGACAGATTCCTCTTTATTTTTCAAAATTGTTCTAATTCCTTTGTCCTTGCATATAAATTTTAGTATAACCTGGTCTATTCATATGAAAAACTTCTTGGCCCTCTCTTGTATCACTCCAGAAGTGTTGGAAAGGTTCGTTACAGCCTTTTAAAATCTAGACTTCCCACTCAACTTGTGTGGTGTAGGTGGACATAGGCAAACTTTTTCTGAATTATTTATTTGGAATAGGACAATTATTTTCTAAAATTTTCTGTCATGTTAGGTTGTCCTTTTTCTGGTCCTTTGGCTGTAGAGATGGCTTATAGGGGCAATTTACTTATCTGCCTGTGTTCATCTGTGTTTCCATTGCTGGTTTCTTCAGCTTCAACTCTGGGATGTTTGAAACAAAACAAAATCCACAGAACTCAACAACCTTGTTGTGTTTCTTCAGGTTTTGAAGTTTCCAGCAGTTTTACTTTCTTCTCTTCAGTGTTCAGAATCTTCTTATGTTACATGTATATAATATAATACTCAAGAATTTTTGATGTACTTAATAGAAGAAATAATGATAAATATATTTATTCACACTTCTTAAATACATAACTATGTAAATATTGTTTAGCATTTTACCTGCTCCTAAATTTGTAATTGAAGATTTAAATTTTTTTCTTCTTGGTCAGTAATATAGACATTGTCATACTTTTTTTCTATGCCTATATTTGTTTTTTGTTTCAAAAATGTGTAAAGCACATTCCTTTTTGGTATGCTCTCAATTTTTTTGTTGCAGTAAATACATATGACAAAATTTACCATTTTAACCATTTTTAAGTGTATAGTTCAGTAGTATTAAATACAGTCATAGTGTTGTATACCCTGTCACCACCAACCATCTCTGTAGCTCTTTTCATTCTATAAAACTGATACTCTGTACATTAAACAACACCTCATTTCCACCTGCCCAGATCCCAGGAACTACCCTTCTGCTTTTTGCTATATTATTTTGATTGTTCTAAGTACCTGTAAGTGGAATTTTATAGTATTTCTCTTTTAGTGAGTTGCTTATTTCTCTTAACAAAATATCCTCAAGGTTCACCTGTTGTAGCACATGTCACAGTTTCCTTCCTTTTTAAGTGACTATTCCTTTGAATGGATATGCTACATTTTGATTATCCATTCCTCCACTGATAACAGACATTTGGATTATTTCCATATTATAGCTACTTTTTTTTTGAGACCTTGCTTTCAGTTCCAGAAGTGAAATTGCTGGATCACATAATTTTTTTTTTAATTTTTGAGAAACCACTCATTATACTGTTTTTGTAACAACACAGCAAAGTGTTTCAGTTTTTCTACATCTCACCAACACTTGTTATTTTCTGTCATGTTTTTTACTAGTAGTCATGCTGATGGTGTGAGGTAGTAGTTTGATTTGCATTTCCATAAAGATCAGTGATGTTGAACATCTTTTCATGTGCTTACAAACCATTTATATATCTTTGATAAATTGTAGAAAAATGTGAAAAATATACAGAAACCTTTAGATAGCTGGAACATAAAGACAGATATTTATTTAAGTCCTTTGCCCATTTATGAATTGGGTTTTATGTATTTTTGTTGAGTTTTAGGACTCCTTAACATATTTTGTATCAGGTTTTCTTTATCATGTTTCTATTATGCAATTTCTAAGTCAATAGTGATAAGAGTTTAAGTTGTAACTAGAGATTTAATTTTTCCTGGGATTTAGATTAGTTTGTCCCATGAATACTGTTAAATTTCCTCAAGTAACAGTTGAATAATTAACTGCTCAGTTATGTTTATGTATGGGTGTGATCAATGTAGTCAATTCAAAGCCATGTAATTAAATATTAATGACCTACTATAAAAACATTTATATATTGATATTTATGTGATTTAAATAATTTTTCTAGGCAAGTTGGACAAATGCAAGTAAGAAACAACGTGAAAAGCTACTTGAGCTGATACGTCGTCTTGCAGAGGATGATAAAGATGGTGTGATGGCACACAAAGTGTTGAACCTTCTTTGGAATCTCGCCCATAGCGATGATGTGCCTGTAGACATCATGGACTTGGCTCTCAGTGCCCACATAAAAATACTAGATTATAGTTGTTCCCAGGTATGGGAGTGCTTCCTTGCTCTTTTTTTTTTCTGTTGTTGTTGTTCCCACCCCACCCCACCCCCACCCAATTAGGATGGCTTAGTTATAGAGTAATTTCATTATTTTTGTTTTTTAAAGTAATTTTGAAGAATTGGCTTCCTTATTTAAGCCTAGCTTTTTTCTTTTTGTGTTTTTTCAAAAAGTTTTCATATCATTTAGGATTTTTACCTCTCTGCAAGAAGGGTTTATAGAGAGTAAACAATTCATTATGGTACTACTTTAGTTAAATATAGGATGGTAAAATAGAATCATAGTATTAAAACCAATAGTGACTTTGGAGGTAAGAGTAATTAGATTCTTACTCAAAAAGTTAAGAAAATTAACAAAATTTCCTAAGGAGTTGTGTCCTTATGAGCAAATTATAGTTTCTCTGCATTTAATTTAAGTCATTTATGTTTACCGACTTTAAATATGATTTTTTTATACTAAATTTTGGAAACTGTTTTTATATATTTTTTTAGCAGTGTTTTGTTATTTATTAAAGATGATGTATTTTCTTTAAAAAAAATGCAAAAGAATGCTAGGCAGGGTATTCTTAGTTACTTGAAGGCAGACATTCTCTGAGAATATAATCTGGTTAAGCAGGGTCAGATGATACTCTCAGTTTTTGGAACCCATATAATTTAAAAGGTTCAGAAGTATTTGCTGAATTAAACTGCCATAATCAAAGAAATGTTGTCATATAGGCACATATGTATATATAACTAGATGAATAAATTCAGAGAGGAGAACTCTTTACCTGAGATACTTAAAAAATGAAGATATCATTCTTCATAGTCTGTGGACTAAATCCCACCTGTTCATGTAAAACTAATTTTTTTTTCCAATTTGGAAGAAGGTATGAATTAAAATTTAACTTTAATACTCTTCTTAATGAGCAGATTAAAAACAGAGAACTTTTTAAAATCTCAGTGGTCACTAAGAGCTTAAGATTTATCAAAAGAAGAAAATAGTTCATTTATTTGATCATATGCCAGTATTACACTGTACTTGATTCTGACTGTTCATTAACTATTTATTCTGCATCTCAAATGGTTATAAAAGCCTCAAGTTTGAATTCTGTTTTGTTAAATAGAGAAGTGTTATAGAGAATGAAAGCAATATACTTGCTGTAAGAACTATGAGATCTCTTTTTAAGAGATTTATTCTCATATTATAGTCTTATATTCTTCATTTTTTTCCTTCTATCTCTACATTATGTTTTATTTATACTTTTTTTGTAGTATATAATATGACCAGGTGACAGTCTCCAATGACATTAACTTAATTGAAATTATTTGGTAATTTCTTTCTTGCTTTCTTTTTTCCTCTCTTTTTTTTTTTTTACTTCATCATTATTATTTTTTTTATGGTGATATTGGTTAATGAAATCCAGTAAGTTTCAGCTATACACTTTAACAGTAAGGCATACATGTTTACACTGTAAGTTCACCTCCCATAGTTAGATTTCTTTCTGTCACCACATATTTGACCTCTTTTACCCCATCTACCTCCCCCCTTCTCCCTGCCCTCTGGTAACCACTAGTCTATTGTCCTTGTCCACGAGTCTCTGTTTGTCCTGTTCATCTGTTGTTGCTTTAGGTTTATATCCCATGTAAGTGCTATCATGTGGTTTTCAAATTTTTCTGTCTGGCTTATTTCACTTAGCATGATTATCATGAGGTCCATCCATGTTGTCACAAATGGTAATATTTCATCTCTTATGGCTGAGTAAATATTCCATTGTATATATGTACCACAGCTTCAACTTCCTCCTTTAATTAGTTATTTATATCTTTGCATGGCACAGTGTTGTCTTATACAGTGCCACATAAACAGTTACTGAATTTCATGAAATTTAGTAAACGAGTTTTCCTTTTTCAACTTCAACCTTCATTTGTTGCAATTATGGAAAACTAATAAATATATCATCCTATTTGCTCTTTTTAACTCAAAGTGCTTTTAAGATCAATATTTAATATTCACATATAAATATCTTAAATTTTTAAAGATGCTCACAGAATTCAGACCAGTAATTTAACATCTAGAAACTTTTCTAGGAAATGATATGAAAACAGCATAGTATTTAGACTAGGACATTCATTGTTTATACAGTCAAATGGTAATCACTCAAATTCATGAATACACTGTACAGTATACTGTGCAGCCATTAAAATGGCTGCTGTTGTGGATAGATGTCCATAGTATTTAATGAAAACAGTTAAAAGTATGTTTTTTGTTTCTATAAAGAGATGTGCATGTGGTTAAAAAAAAAATTCCCTCAAGTGAGACATTAAACATAAACAAATGTACAGATTTGCCTTTTCTTCATGTAATTTCATTACAGAAATAATTTCATTACAATTAAAAATTTGTTATGTAGTGAAACCTGTACTTCTGATTATTAGTAACCAGATAAAAAGACAAGCAAATTAACCATGGCAGAATATTAGAAATAAACTTATTCTTATAACATTCTTAATTTTTCTTTAGGTGAATGACATGTACCTAGTTTTACAAGTTTTAATATGATGTAAAAGTTGATTGTTTCACTATAAAGGATAAAAGGAACTAAGTATTTTTCTCTTAATATCCGTGGGCATAACTGGCTGCAAACTCCGTATTCCAGAATGAACTTATCTATAGTTAACATAATTATTTTTTTAACTTAACAGAATTACTATTCTTTTCTTTATAAAACATAAATTTTAAGTGTTCCTGATTTTTTTAGAAACATATGCTAACATCACACCAATATATAGAAATTCTTGAGATTCTATGTTTTTGCTGAGAGAACCTCATAAAACACTGAGTAAAATGCAATACCAACATTCAAGCATGTGTTCCAAAATTCAAATCTCCTATGAATGTGCCAAAAGTTAGTATTTATATTTTGGTGCAGATATTTCTAAATTCATGGAACACTGAATTTTTATAGTCTTAATTTACATTTTGGAGTTTCGATGATTATTTAAAAATAAGAATATACTTAAAGCATTTTGTTTGATTATACTATTATAAATCATAATTGTGATATCAGCTTAAAAGCATTTCTACTTTGTAATTCTTAAGTAATTTGAAGGTAACAATTATATTGAATACTTGTCCACATAACTGTAAATTTTTTGTATGTTTATATACAAGGACCGAGATGCACAAAAGATTCAATGGATAGATCGCTTCATAGAAGAACTTCGTACAAATGATAAGTGGGTAATTCCTGCACTGAAACAAATAAGAGAAATTTGTAGTTTGTTTGGTGAAGCACCTCAAAATTTGAGGTAAGTCTTTTAACATAGAAAATTTTGTAGTTTTTATTTATATATTACATTGGAATCAGATAGCATATCAGTAAAAAGGTAGATTTTATTCTGCTTTTATATTGTATGACACAGAGGCTAAGTTATTTATCCAATGTTACATAGCAGTTAAATATCAGAGTCAAGAAGCTGACTTGGGCTTTTGGTCAAAATTGTCTTCAATTTTCAGCAGATATACAGACATTATGGCATGGGTTATATTTATGTTATCCACCGCCCCTCCCCCTTTCTCCCACCCTTTCTACTGGTTTCCTTGGTCTGGTACTCATTCTTAATCCCACATGTTATTTCCTAACAGTCCTTACTCATTCCTCAGTTCTACTCTTTACATATTTCTTAACAATTTTTATTGACTTTAATAGGTAGTAATAATGAGAGGGATAGTTATCTTTTGAATTTAGAAGTTCCTTTTTAAAGATAAGGCTACAAGTGATTTAAATTATTAAAGATGACAAAACTTGTTTAAAGTTTTTTTTATTCTTTATTTTATTATATTTTCCTTAAATAGCTAATTTAGGCCTTGATGTTAAATTGATCTTATTGGAATAATATACTTTATTTCTGTGATACATTTGGAATTAATGACATTAAGGAAAAACTAAAATAGAGGAAGCAAGGTATAGTGGTAACAAATATCTGTTCTCACTACTAGGATCCCAGGTAGTGAATCCTAGTTTTGTCTAATTAGCTTTGGCCTTGAAAGATTCACTGACCTTTAAGAAACATTTTTCTTTTTTGTAAAACAATTACAAGATCCTTTACAGCGTGTAAATGGAATTCCTGTTTAAAAAGAATTATATATACCTTTTTTCTAGTGCTAGAAAAATTATATCAACATAAGGAGTTTCATGGCAATAAATACTGAAAGAACTCCTGAAATAATCTGTTAATATTATTTTTTTGTGAAAGACATATTTTGATTGTGTTTCAATTAACTACACATGCCTTTTGTCTAATTTATTTTTTGGTTGCTTGTATACACAGTACTGTATACTCTTCCAAGTCTAAAAATTTGATCACAAGTTTTAATATGTGAGAGTTGATTGTTTCACTAAAAAGGATAAAAAGGAAGGGAACAGAGTATCTTTCTGCTAATATCTGTGGGTATAACTGTCTGCAAACTCTGTTCCAGAATGAACCTGTCTGTAATGACTAATATCCTTGATCATGTAAACCTGTACATGTGCTTTGATACTATATTAAGTAAATTAACATGGGTGAAATTGGAGAATACCAAGAGACAGTTTTCATGTAATATTAGAATTTTGGAATCAATATTTATTTTTTGAGGTTTGGTTAGTCTCTTCAAATTGCTGATTTTGTTATTAAAAGGAAGATATTGATCAGATTTTATTATGAATGTAAGATATTTTAAAACTTTAAAGTAGTAGCTAGAATTTCAGTCTCTAAACAGTCTCTGTAAACTTTCTAAGTTACAGCATTTACAGCAGTAATTTAACAGCAGTGTTCATTTGCCTAATTATACTGTTAAGTTCTTCTCGTTTTAGTCAAACTCAGCGAAGTCCCCATGCATTCTATCGTCATGATTTAATCAATCAACTTCAGCATAATCATGCCTTAGTTACTTTGGTAGCAGAAAACCTGGCAGCTTACATGAATAGCATGCGACCATATGCTAGAGGTATGTATTATAAACTGACATTAACTATTGGGAATCACCTGGGCTTTCCTTTCCTGGTTTTTTTCTTTTGTCCTTATGTTCATTGCTGCAGATGTGACAATGTTTATCTTTAAAGGACTGAAAAATGGATGTGAATTAATTTGTAAATTGTATTCACTTATGGATCCACTTAGCCTCCCAAATCTTGTAAACCTAAATTGTAGGCCAGCTTTTTAAGGCTCTTTACTAAGTGCTCATGTCCCTACTTATCCTTGTTAAATTGTTTTTTTCCCATCTCTATCTGAGAACTCATATTATATATCTACTTTGTACCTGCAGTTGCTACTTTCTGGGTTTGTTAATTGATTCACTTTAAACTCTTTTATTGTTACAACTTTTACCAGCTTTTCAGGAAAACTTGATTGTAATTCCTTTGTTAATTTGCCCAAATCTGTTTTTTATTATATTACAGTTGTTTTAAATAACCCTGAAATAATAGTTTCCTGTTCAAATAATTTATTAAAAATTTAGTAGATAGTGATTACCATTTGTCCTGTGGTTCTCAGAATATGAAATTGTTTAAAACATATTGGGATAACATTTCATGTAGTTTTAACATAAATCTTTTTACTATTTGCCCTATGAAGAGCTCTTTTCTTGATGCTTTAAAGATCAATTCCAAGGTTATTTGTCCTTTGACAATTTTTCCAGGATGTATCTGTGCAGCTGTACCTCCTCTATATTACACCGAATTTGTTGGACAAAACAAAATCCCAGTCACCTGTAGGCCCAATTTTGTATATTTGAAAAAGGAAAAAAAAAAACTGTTGTCTAGTGTTGAAGTCAAGATTGAGCATCATGGTAAACTGAAAATAGTATTTAGTAACAGTCTACATTAGGATATGTAGAATTCAGTGATATGTTTAAGATGTGGACATTTGTGATACTCATTATTTGACTAGAACAGTAGAATCTGCATGTGCTTATACTTTAATGGTTGTGATGTGATGAATAATAAGGTGATCTTAGAAATTCCTAAGATTTTGCTGACACATAGAACCCATGTAAAAGTTACATTAATGTAATGGAAAATTAAACAACTATTTAGTACTTCTAAAGATTATAAAGATTTCCTACTCATGTCACATTTTACCCATTCTATCCACTTTATAGTTCTGAATTAGAAACACAATCTAAGCATCAGCTGCTATAGTTGGTCCCATTTCAGTTTTGCCAGTTAAGTTCCAAGGTTTCTTCATAGCAAAATGTTAGGACAGGGAGGGCACTATACACATGAAATGTGATGATTTTTTTTTTCTAGCAGGAGCAGCTAAAATCAGTGAGATAGCTAAAAGTTTCTCTGTAGTTCCCATGAGTATTATATTACCTCAAACTTTCTTGATAACATAGACCCCCTCCTACATGCCACATTTCCCAAAAATAGAGTCATGTAGATAACTAACTCCAATGAAAACTTTTATTTATTCCATTTTTTATGTTATTTCTTCTGTGTTTTTAATATCACTGTCAATTGAAAACTAAATTACCAAGGCAATGATGTGGGACACATGTGCATTTCACCTTACTAGCGTTCTTTCTTCCTTTTAATGTTTTTGTATGTTCCTTGCTTATCTTCATGATCACAAGAATGTCAATGTCTTTATAGTGTTTATAAGAGTTTAGAAATACAATTACAGGCTTTGTAAGTAAACTGTCTAGATTTAAAGCTTGGCTCTAACACTTGATAGCTGCATATTTGCAAGTTACTTATACTGTGTATGGTTGATTTATATCTGGAAAATGAGGATAATGATAGTATGTCTCTGCTCTATAAATAAGTTAATATTTGCTAGAATAAATAGTTGCTAGAATGATACCTGCACATAGCAAGCACTTGTATTATTACGTTCCTTTGAATTCATAGATTTCATATCTGTTTACCTAAGTAACTGTTTCCGTTTCAGTATTTTTTATTTCAGACTAAAG